TGCAGAAGTAATAATAGTCGTCGTAGGCGTAGTAGTGGTACGAATGAGAAGCATATAATCTCAGAGTCTGTCAGAGGCTCTCATAGGCTGCCATAATCTTTCAACAGGAGCCCAGAGGCTCTCAGATGCTCTCAGAGGTTTTCAGAGGCTCCCAGAGGCTCCCAGAGGCTGTCAGAAACTGCCAAAAAGGTGTCAGACCTTCCCAGACTCTTTCGAACACTTCCAGGAGTTGTTCAGAAGCTTTCACAGGCTCTCAGAACCTCGAAGAAGCTTTCAGGCGTTTTCAGAAGCTGCCAAACGCTTCCAGAAGCTTTCAGAAGCTCGAAAAAGCTCTCACAAGCTTTCAGAAGTTGCCATCATCTCCCAGGATGATTGAGCAACTGTCCAGATCTGCCAGACTTTGTCCGGATCTTTCAGAAGCTCTCAGATGCTCTCCGAGGCTCCCGGAGGCACCCAGAGGCCCTCAAAGGCTCTCAGAAGCCCCCAGCAACTTTCATAAGCTTTCAGGAGCTCGAAGAAGCTCTCACAAGCTTTCAGAATCTCGCAGACGCTTTCAGAAGTTCCCAGAAACTTTCAGAAGCCCTCAGAAGCTCTCACAAGCTTTGGGGATCTCTCAGAATCTCTCAGAAGCTTTCAGAAACTCTCAGAAGCCTTCAGAAGGTTTTCAGAAGCTTTCAGAAGCGCTCAGAAGCTTACAAGCTTTCAGAAGCTCTCAGGAGCTCTCAGAAGCTTTTTCGGGAGCTCTCAGGAACCCCCCCGAGTCTTTCAAACATTCGCAGAAGCGTTCAGCATCCTTTCAGATGCTTTCAGAATCTTGCAAAAGCTATCATAAGCTTGCAGAAGCTCCCAGAAGCTTTCAGAAGCAGCTATCAGAATCCTCCCGAGGCTTTCAGAAGCTCCCAGAAGCTTTGCAGAAGCTCCCGTCCATTGTCAGAAGCTCCCAGCCACTTTCAGACACTTTCAGAATCCCCCAGATTTGATTGTTGGTATTTTCCGCAAAATCTGCATGCCTCTTTCAAGATCGTCCATCATCTCTGTGGACACTTCGGAACTCTCAGGAACTCCTCAGAATATTATAGCATCGTTTTGGCAACTTACAGGACCTTTCAGAAGCCTTCAAAATCTTTCCGAATCTTTCAGAACCTTTCAGATGCTCTCAAAAATTCAGAAGCTTTCAGAAACTCTTAGAAGCTCCCAGAGTCATTCAGAATATATCAGAAGCTCTCACAAGCTTTCAGAAGCTTGTAGAAGCTCCCACCGATTGCCTGTAATATTTCAAAATTTTTCACCATTTCCCAAAAAAGGTTTCAGCACTTGTCAGAAACTCGCATAAGCGGTCAGAGGCTTTCAGAATCTCGCAGAAGCTCTCACAGGCTTTCATCATCTTTCAGAATCACCTATAACTCTCAGACGCCCCCATAATTCATCATCTCGCAGAAACTTTCACAAACTCTTAGAATATTTCAAAAGCTTTCAGAAACTCACAGAAACTTCTAACAACTCTCATAAGCTTTTCATCAGCTTTCAGAAGTTCTCGGCAGCTCCCAGAAGCTTTCACAAGCTCCCATATTCTTTTCAGAAGGTATCAGGTTCGATCCGAATCTTCAAGCATATTTAAGAATATCTCAGAAGCTCTCAAAACCTTTTCAGAAACTCCACGCCTTCAGAAACTTTCAGGATCTTCCGAAGTTGTTCGAATCTCGCAGAAATTGTCTGAAGCCTTCTCGCTCGTAATCCTTCAGAATCTCACAGAGGTGCTCACAGGCTCTCGGATGCCCGAAGGATTCCCCTGGAACGGTTGGGACGTCACACATCCCAGCTGTGCAAGGCGGTTGTTATATGACCCGTTCAAATGGGATCTCACCCGACAGGTTGTGATCTGACACTTCCCCGTTTTCCGGCTGGTTGGTTCACAGGAGGGGGTACGTCCCCTTCTCGGAAAGGCAGGGGGGGATCGGACAGCATCCAGAGCGCGAAAGGGGGGGAGAAGTTTTCGAGGTGTGGAGAAGTGGAGGGGGGTGCTTCCAGCCAGGGGGTTTCAGGGGGGGGGTAGCTAGGCCCCCGCCCCCGTTGGACAGGGAGGGCGGGGGGGGGGGAATAGTTTCCGGAACGCGAGAGGGAGAGGGGGGTAGCTCCCGAGAGGCGGAGAAACAAACTGTGGGGGGGGTCGGCAGGGCAGGTCCAAGGGGGGGAACTGGGAGGGCGTCGCGGGCGCGCTCCCAAATGATACGACAAGGTTCAACATAGCCCAAGATTGCCACAGGATCGCCCAAAACGTCGAATAGCGCCCAAGAGCGCCTGGAACTCTGGGCTGTGGGCTTCTTCGATGCCTTCAGGACTACTGCTCCAACTCGTGCCTTGAGGCACGGTTGCGTATGGTAGAAGGATGACAAACACGATGACGGGGTTGATGATGAGGCAGAGCATGCGGAGGGAGGAGGGGGGGAGGACGACGACGACGAGGATGAGGACGAAGAGGGAAATGCGACCGCGTTGCCAGGCTGGACACCGCGTCGCCACTCAGTACATGTTCTCTGTGCTCCGTGGCCACATGCCGGCGGCGACCTCAGCCTGCCTCGAAGACCGTCGGAAGTTGTTTTTCTTTATCTCTGTCTATATATATAGACAAATAGATATGAGTAAGATGACGAGGGGAAGGAGGATAACGAGGAGGGGGAGGAGGATGAGGAAAAGGAAGAGGAAGAGGGGGAAGAGGAGGACTACGTGGGAGGGAAGAGCAGGGTTGGGTGGGGACGTGATGAGTAGGTGTAGGGCGTCGGGTTAGGCGTGGTAGGAAGGTGGTTGAGCCGGGGGGGAGGTGAGGTGGAGAGGAAGGAAGAGGTTGCCGCGGGATAAATGAGGACGGGGGTAGGAGTGAGGGAGGAGGCGCAGTACGGGCGGACAGGAGGATAACCAGGATGAGGAGTGAGGGGGGAGTGCCTCGAGTGGGAGAGACGGAGTGAGGAGGAGGAGGGGAAGGAGGAGGAGGAGGAGGCCGAGGAGGAGGTGGAGGAGAAGGAGGAGGAGGAGGAAGAAAAGGAGGAGGAGCAGGAAAAGGACGAGAAATATGGAAGGACAAAGGGGCCGTAACATTATTTCAAGCTGCATTCACTCTGTTTTCAGTTGTGGTGTTCCACATTCTCTCCAATTGTTGTTGCCCCGATTGGACATTGCCGTGAGACATATTGTTTCTATGGCTTGGGCTCAGTCTGTGGAAAAGGTTGCCGATTTGACGACGGCCATCACAGCTGCTGAAACCGCCGAGGTTTCTGTCTTCATTGCCCCGCCATCTCCAGACGATCACCTTATTTGGGGAATCGAGGTGTGGCAGCAGGAGCAGCAACAAATGGTCTTGGACTTGAGCCAGTATGGCGTACAGGTACCAGAGAGGGCCCAATCCCCTGGGCCCAGGTCAAGGAAACTAAAAGCTAAACCGATTCACAACATTGTCCCAAGCATTCACGCTGGTCAACCTTCTTGTAGGTTTAGCTGACCCAAGCGTGTTGAGAAACACGGATCAGCACACGGGCTTGGTGATTGTCACCTGCCCCTGTGTTCCCACACTGCTCGCCAGCGCACACGCGCATCTTAGGACAGGAGAAGGACAGAGGAGATCACTGGAACTGGCCGGAACCGTCGGACGCGGCACCGGAGTCGGACATGAGTGATGTCCAGCTGATGGACGCCCGATCCATGGCGAACGTCCTGAGGGATGCAGCCTGCGATCTTGCCTTCTGGGAGGAATCCTCGCGCCTGCCGACCAGCTCTCGTTCCTCGTCCACATCGGCCGGACGCCATCAAGTCAAACAAGGCGGCGTTCACTTCGGTAACATCGTCCTTTGTGAGGGGGTCGACTGGCATGTTAGAGTGTGGCACCCACCTCACGACTCCCTTCGATCGCTCGAGAGACTCGCAGATGATCGGCAAATCCAGGACCGTCCTCCTATCCTTCGCACTCGCCGTCCCATCCTTCGCCATCGTATCATAAATAATCTTGGCATCAACTACATGAATCTGTCGTTCTCGGTGTCCGAGTCTGCAGTTCTGTCGAAGGACAGTGGTAAATGGTCCTGCAGCACTGGAACACTCTGAACTATCTACATCCTGAAACACAGCGTCTTTGTACAACACTTGCAGGTACTCGACTTCTGACACCGCTGATGCGAGGGCCAACGTCTCTCCTGCAAGGGTGGAGGGAACCTTCCTTCTGAGCTTCGACGGTCTCCACCCGAGGATCGACGCTCTCACCGAACGATTCTGCAGCACGCTCTGATCGGTAGCCAACACCATCCAGGCCCCTTGGGTCCTCTGGGAGCCCCTTGGAGTCGACCCCGCTGGCACTGGCTCCCACGCCCCCCGCGTCCGAGAATGCCATGAAAGCCATCTTGTTGGGGTCGAGGCGCCACGCTGTCAGGCCGCTCGAGGCCGTGCTCCTCAGATGACGCACTAATCTGTTGGCACGCGAGACGTCCCAAGAAGTCGCCTGTCGCAACCTTGACGCAAGGATACTCAAGTGTTCGTAATAAAAGGGAGGGGGTCTGGACCCTCCAAGACAAGCCATTTCAGACCCCCCCCCGTGGGCGAACCCTCCAAAACATCGTCCCCAGACCCCCCTAGGCCCTCCAAGATAGCCTGGAAGAGACCCCCCCCGAAATGAGACCCCCCTCCCTTTATTACGAAATCTGGAGTACTCGCCACTCCCGAAGCCTCGGGACGCGTTTCCCGACCTACCCAATTCAGCTTGTCTATGAGGGGCCTCAGGGCCTGGAGCTCCGTCGGGTCCAACGGGGCGTCCTTCCTACCGAGCCTCCCGGGAGCCATGCTGAGGGGCCTGAGTTCCTCCAGAATGTATTTCTCCTGGTGGACCGTGATGCGCTGGGGGGTCCACGTGATCCTACGGCCGGCGTCGTCCACCGGTGACGCGTGCAGGTCCCGGTACTTCCCGAAACGAAACCTATCGGGCATGGCCAGGACCCCGGGTAAGGGGACCCGGTTAGTGGTAGGGTTCCGGAGCTTTCGAATTGGCCAGAATCACTTAACCAGGCTTGCCATAGCTGGCGTTTTTCGGGTGACGGCAGTTCCGGTTAGTGGAAATGGGATGGGGGGGCGCCCCCGGTACAGATCACTAAACCAGGTTCCACTAAACCCAGATCTACCAACGCCCGAACCTACACTCCAACATCACTCGCACCTGCTGCCTGACCTCGGGAGTCGACGAGGCAATGAAGAAGTCGTCGACTTCGAGTAGCATCATGCTCTCGAGACCGTTCTCTTTGGCGTGCTTCAACCACCAGCAGGGTTCCAACGGGGACCTCACATACCCGTGGTCGGACAAAAACTGGATCGCGGTCTTTCGCCACGCAACAGGAGCATCGTCCAGGCCGTGCACATTTACGAGGAGCTCGATAAGAACCCCCTCTTCGACCCGAACTCCGTGGCGGGGCTCGATGCATATTGGACCTCCTTCTCGCTTCATCGGATTCGACTGGAAGACAGCATTTTCACGTCGGCTATGCCCCCGTAATCCACAAGCCGCATTAAATGTACAATGTTGCCCCTCTGTGACAGAGGGGCGGAGTTCGGAGGCCCTCTGCGACAGGGGGGCTCGTCATCCCGTTCCTCCTTTATCCTGCTGCTTGAAGTCGTACATATCATGCTACTTTTGCGCTCGGCATCCTTGCGTTTGTGATCCTTGTCGCGTTTTCGCATGCGTCCTTTCACAATGTCCACCGCATTATCCTCCGTTGCTTGTGTTGCCCCGCCATCTACCTCGTCGCCCTCCTCCGTCTGCATTTCTCCATTCTCTCCCGCCCTTTTCTCTCCCTCCTCAGGTTCGGCGCCCCGCCCCATCGTCCACTTCGTTCTCCCTCTTCCCGCCCCCTTCCTTTCAACCTCTCTTCCGTCCAATCGCATCGCCGCCGTCCGAAACCATCCCGCGCCCGTGGGATCGCCCGCGAGCGGCGGTGCAGCGGGGCCGCCCGCGGCCTAGTGCGCGCCTGCGCGATCGACATTCAATCGACGATGCAGGCGGAAACACATGGGGCGCGGCAGGCTGGCGGGCCCGCCGCAGCAGCGGCTGGTCTGGTTGGGGGGGCGACTGCGATTGGTCGGCGCGGGGCTGGAGAGAGTGGCGACAAGACGGGGGCACCCCGAGGGCGGGCGCCAAGTGGCTTGATGTCCCTGCCGCCGCATCAGCGGTGGCGGTCGCGCGTGAACGGCCACGCCCCTTCGCTGCGGTTGGCGCCGCGAGCCCCGGCGCCCCTGGTCTCGGCATGCCCGAATGCGATAATTTCGCGCGGGTTTCCCTTCGAAGCTCGCCAGAACCTGCTGATTTTTTCCAGGAGAGGGGTCGGGATCCCAAGCCGCGCCTGCGGCGCCGGGGCCTCTGGCCACCGCGGCAGCGGCGGCGCGCGGGCCTCAGGATTGGGAAAAATTTGACGTCGATAATTTCTTGAATTATGAAGGGGGGCTCGGCATTTCGCGCAAGCAGCGCTACCAAGCGAGGCATCAAAGAAAACGCAGGAGGGCCGTTCGAGTCAGAGGCCAAGCGGCTCGACAATGTGGAGCCCAACGTGGTCTGTGTTTGAGAGCACGGTAAAGGGGGCGAGCTTCTCTCTCAAGAGCGACGAGAAATTCTCGCGGCGGCGGCGGGAGATGGTGGCGACGCTCAGGGAAGAGGATGTGGAGGTCGCGGGCCGCGGGGGGGGGGCCCGCAGCAACGGGGCTCTGACCGGCTGTTCCTTGGAAGTGCGGCCAAACAGCTACGACCATATGCGCCAGGAAACCGCGCGCGCGCCTCAGTTCGCGGGGCAGTGGGTGACAGTGAAGCTGCCGATGTGGGATTCCGCGCTGCGCCGCGACGACAGGGCGGGCGTCCGCCTGCGCCAGCACTGGGGCGACAGGAAGGTCGCAGCTCTGGCCCTCGTGCCCCGCGCGGACACGGTAGAGCCACAATTCGCTATTGTAAGACCTGGGTGTGGAGCGCGCGCTCTGGTTCGACGCCGCTAGAGAAAGGGGAAGGTAAACGCCTTCTCTGGGGCCCCGCAGCAGCGGGGGGGCCCGCGGCAGCGGGGGGGCCCGCAGCAGCGGGGCCGCGGCGCCATGCACGGGGGCTTCGGCGCCCGCGGCGCCGCCGCCCGATGGAGAGTCGGCGCGGTTCGCGAATGGGCCGAAGGACGTCTACCACGTCTACGAGTGGCCAAGGGGCCGCGGCGCGCGATCCGCGAGCGGCCAGGAAGCAGCCGACTCCGCAGCAGCGGGCGACCCAGAGTGCGCGGCTCCGCAGCAGCGGGGCCCGAATGAGGGGTGCGATTTGCCTTTCAGCAGGTGCGCGCGCGCGTCCGCCTGCGAGATCGGGAGTGCGCGCGCCGCGCGCAGTCGACGTTGCGCGATCTTCGCGTTGAAGTCGCCCTTCTCCTCCCCGACCCGGGGAAATGGCGCGACGAAATATCGCAATTTGTACGAGCTACCATTGGGGACACTACCGCGTCGTGGTTGGATGTTGCTGGAGACCGGACATTGTGGAATAATTGGGAGAAGGATTACCTTGCGCACGCGCACATCTGACAGGGCCACGGCCCGCCCGCGCCGCTCCTAAGGGGCCCGCCTGCCGACGGACACGCGCGTTTCGTCTCGTCTCGTCCTGCTGGCCCCACCGTCTGCACTGCCTTGAGAGTCGTCGGCGGCGGCTTGACAGGTGGCACTGCCATTCCCATCTGGCGCTGGCGGTCTGCCACGATCGCCTACGTGGCGTTGGCCGCGCCGGGCCGGCGACCGCGGCTGCTTGCCGCCCGCAGCCCCAGAGGTGGCTCGTACGGATGATGGGCCTGTTTTCCACCACCACCACCACCGTAAGTTGGAGGGGGAGGAGGAGGAGGAGAAGGAGGAGGAGGAGGAGAACGAGGAGGAGGAGGAGGAGGAGGAGGAGGAGGAGGAGGATGTGGAGGAGGAGGAGGAAGAGGAGGAGGAGGAGGAGGAGGAGGCTGAAGAGGAGGAAAACCGAAGAACGCGTTACAACCAGCGTTCGCAGGGGGTGAAGGTGCGCGTGTCGGTCCTGGTGGACGGTCCCGCCCAAATTTCCGTACGTACCACACTTGCAGCAGGGGAGTGCTCAAGTTCCGAGGAGCGACAACAACATTTGCAGACGCGCGCCCCGCCGTTCGATTTTCTTCGCAAGGTGGACCTCGAGCAGGCCGCCTTCGCTCTCATTTCCAAGGAGGGCGAGGGGGTGGACGCGCGCAAGCACCAACGCATGGTTCAGACCATCATGGACGAGGAAAATCACTTGAATGGGTTGAACGCTTTGCCGCGACTCGTGGCCGTGCTTGCCCGCCTTTCCTTGGTCAACGCAGCAGAGCTCTGCGACGTCATTGCGATCGCGTTTGTCGCGCTGATCATCCCGCTGGACAGCAAGGCGGCGGTCTCTGCCAGGACGACCGTGGGACGACCACGGGACAACCGTGTGACAGCCACAAATAGGCAGGAGTATTATTCAAGGGGGCAAAAAAGACCCGGACCCGACAACTGGAGTTTACTGGACGGCTTTAGGCGTTTACTAAACAGCCCTGCCCTGTTTGACTCCTTTGGGTGCGTTTACTGGACGGCTTCGCGTGTCGGGGTGGTTACTATTTGGGTGGATCTTCTGTCTTCCAATTGCGGAAGAATCGCCGTGGGACAGGTGCGTGACGACAACTGCACCACAGCGGGGGACCACTGGAGGCAACCACCGGCACGACCGCTGGAGAGCCGCGGCGTGGCGGCCGGGGGGAACAGTACGGTGGCAGCCTGCCCCAACAGGGACGGGTTAAGTCGGGCGCGTCCCTCTGCAGGAGGAGTATCCAAAAATACTAAAAAATAGTCAGGGGATTATTTTTGATTTTTCTAATGTTTTCCCGATCGTGTTTCAATTTTCGCCCAAAATCCGCCTGCAGGAGGACATGCTCGACCTAAGGGAAGGGACTTGTCTCGACCACGCGCAGTTTCGGTTCGCCCACGCGCACTTTGCGAACGACGCGAACCGGAATCGGCTCTACCGCCGACGTCGATTTCCCTACCCCGCTTCACGTCGATCTCGCCCCCCATCCTTCGATTTACGCCGAGCGCGCGGCAGATGCAGATACCGCGAGTATGCGCAGATGCAGCTGACTTAGCGGCGGGCGACCAAAATGATGACGACTCTGGCAATCCTTTTTCCATGTCCCCTCAACGCTCCTCCTCCCCCTCTGGCTCCTGGTCTTCCTCGTCCTGTCCTCCTTCCTCCTCTCATATCCACCCCTTCCCCTTCGCTCCCCCTTTCCCAGCTCTTTCTGTTTATTCTGCTTCTGCTCCTCTCCCCTTCCCCCTCCTGCTGCTGTTGCTCCCCCTCGTTTTCGTCCTGTTGCTGCCGCTTTTCCTCGTTCCCGTCCCTCTACCTCTCCGTTCGCTCCCTCTCGTGCTTCTTCTGCTCGTCGTCCTGCTCCTCTCGCGGTTCCTCTTGCTGTGGTCCCGCTGTCCCTGCTCCTGCTGCCCCTGCTGCTGCCCAGCTGCCTGCTGCTCCTCCCGTCGCCGCTGCCCCTCGCAGCTCCGGCTCCGCTAGCTATGGAGGCCGCTGCTGCTGCTCGTCCTTTGGGCACTTCGCATTGCCGCCTCCCTGCTTGCGGAACGCGCGACGCGGACTGCCTTTGCCGCGCCGCGACGTGGCAAGGTTGCTGCTCGTCGCCCCTCCGTTCGGCTTTAGTCGGGCATGTCCCTCTACAGGAGGAATCTGAAAAACAGTAGAAAATAGTCTGCAGGGGACGAATGTTTGAGTATTTGTGGCGACTTTTTGAATATCTTTTGGCTATTTTTTCCCCAATCAGAGCTTGCTTCTGTAGGGGTCCTAGCGGATTCATATGGTTAGGTCAGGTTTGCCGCCGATTTTCGCGGCACGCCCGGGTGCCCAGGGGTGCCCAGGTGCCCGGGTGCCCGGGCGTGCCCGGGCGTGCCCGGGCGTGCCCGGGCGTGCCCGGGCGTGCCGGGTGCCCGCCTGGTAGCCCTATAGCCTTATACCCCTAGATCCTTATAGCCTCATAGCCCTATAGCCCTATAGCCGTATAATTAGCCCTACAGCCCCAATAGTTTTATAACCCTACAGCCCTAATAGTTCCATAGCTTTATACCCTTATAACCCTATAGCCCTACAGCCCTCTAGCCCTATAGCCCTATAGCTCTCTAGCCCTCTAGCCCTATAGCCCTATAGCCTTATAGCCCTATAGCCCTTTAGCCCCATAGCCCTATATGATTAAAAATATTATGATTGTTTTTTTTCTCTGGTTTCATGTGTTTCTTTCAAATTCCGCCCTGTAGGAGGACACGCCCGACCTAACGCTCGGCTCGAGCAGGCGGAGGCGCTGGTGAAGTACCGGGAGGGGCACAGCAACCTCCCCGGCCACCCGGAGCTCGGGCGCACGCCGGGCATCGAGTTCAGTTCGGGCCGCCTCGGGTGCCTCGGGGATGGGGGGCTGGGCATTGTTCGGACGTGTGCATTTTTCTGGCGAAGCCTATCGAGGAGCAGATTGTATCATCAAACCAAAAAAGTAGCCCACGATTTCAACAACATGCGCGGGTAATGGACGTAGGGGGGGCCGAGCGGGGGGAGGCTGGGGGCGCCTTGCCGCCACGGAGTGGGGTGGGTTTGGGCGGATGGGAGGTGGGGTTCGGGGGGGTCCCTTTCGGGTTCGGAGAGAGCCGTGTATTTTTCCCGACGGTCCTCGTTTTGGATCAGCAGCTCCACATGCCACTCCCTGCCGCTGTCCACCCGCATGTCATCATCATCATCATCATCATCATAATAATAGAATAATCATCGTCATCATCATCATAATAGTAATCATCATCATCATCATCCTCGTCGTCGTCATCATCATCAACATCATCATCATCGTTGATCATCATCATCGTCTTCATCATCATCATCATCATCATCATCATCATCATCAGTGCCACCACCATCATCATCACCATCATTGCAATCATCATCATCATACTCTTCATCAGCATGCTCATCTTCCTTACCCTAAGCATAGTCATGTTCTCCATCACCATCATCAGCATCAGCATCATCGCCATCATAATCACCACCGTATTCATCTTCAGCATTCCCATTATCCTCATCACCATCACAACCACCATCATCATCAGCACCATTATCACCATAACCATCACTATTAACATGATCACCACCATCATCAACATCATCACCATTATCATCATCATGACCATCATGATGACCATCATGATGACCATCATTATCATCATCATCATCATCATCATCATCATCATCATCATCATCATCATCATCATCATCGTCGACATCATCACGTGGGCGCAGCCGCCGCAGTACGCAACCGAGTGCATGGATGATTACCATTTCCGCATGGCGCTCCAGGTGCGCCCAGGTATCGTAAAAGCCCCACTTGCAGCCGTCTGCCAGATGCCCCGAGCGGGGAAAGGAGCTGGTCCGTCCGTGCCTCTGCCAGCTGGACAATCCGTTGGTGCACCCACTCGAGTGTAAGTGCGGGCCCGCCCGCATGCGGCCCCACCAGTGGTTGCTGGAAGCTCTGTTGCATCTGTTCAGCCAGAGTTGGTGCTTCGCAGACGCAGAGCGCGCCGTAGCAAAGGGTGGTCTGTTTCTCCCTGCCTGTTCATCGTTGTGCAGTCGGTGATGTTCTTTGACATTGACAGCGTAGTGCGTGGCAGAAGGGGTGCTGTCAAAGAACCGCCGTGTGTGGCGTGCTCCGATTTGTTGTACGCCGACGACACCATGCTCGTCAGCAGCAGTACAGAAAAGTTTCAATTATTACTTGACTCTGTTATCGACGCTGCGGCCCGGAACCCAAGTGGGGCAATACATTTGTTATTGGTATTGGCCGCGGCGGTGGGATGTCTTGCCCATCGGCGGCGCCAGTGCAAAATATATGCGAAGTTGTGTACTTTGGGGCTCTGTTGACGTCAATCACACCAGCCAACCCACAACTGATACGCAGAACTGGCGAAACCAACATGTGTTCTCTTCCTAAACAAACGCTGGGCGCATGCAAATCTCACGCGAGTTAGAAGTTGGAAACGGTGGGCCTCGCAAAACAATCATGATACCAAAACTGATGTACAGTTTGGGATCCATCTGCTTTCTGCAAGCGGACCAGCGCAATTTCGATGTGTTCCACGTGCGGCGTCTTCCGGAAATTCAGTGTGTTCCATCCTTATGTGTTTCTCGGGTTTCAAGCGAAACAGTATTGGCAGGAAGTGGCCAAGCCTCGCTGAGCGGCGCAGTGCAGTAGATTGTGAAGGCCTGACGGCCAGTGCCGCCGACCCTGAAAGACATCGACGACGACCAGGATGGGAAGGAGGAGGGAAAGGAGGAGGAGGAGGAGTTCGAGGAGGAGAAGGGCTTGCGAGCCCCACTCAAGCGAGCCTCGGCACCGGGGCCTCCGCCGGAAACGCGGGAGGCCAGGGCAGCAGTGGGCTGCTTGCGCCCGCAGCCAATGCGATGACCACTGCTTTTGGGTATCTTATGCGTGCATTTGAAGGAGTCTATATTGTCATGGCGCCAACATCGCAGAGCGGAGTTCGTTCGGAAAACGTTAGAATGGGCTCAGATAGTCTCGGGTAATTTCCTCCGGATTTCGAGGTGAATTTCGTGCGGAGATGTTGTGGGGGCCAGGAATGAAGATTAAAAGGAGTCCACGCGAAATTCACTTTGTTTTTCGCTTGCCCCTTCGGACACAAATCCACGCAGAAATCCGCTGCAGCACGTCTGTAAGGCTGGCCAATGAATAGTGCATCGATACGATACGACGAGCTGCATGAGACCGCCCGTGGGGACCTTCTGTTGCCTTCAATGCGGGCCCCTGTCGGGGCACCCGCTGGTACAAAGCTCTTCGTTTGTGGAGCTGACAATCCCACAAATTCGATACCGCACCCGGCGCGGCATGTATTTTTCACGACCGAAAAATTATCCCAGCGCGACCCTACCTAGGAGTTGGAGCCCCCAGGAAAGCAGCATTAGTAGTAACATTAAAGCTAAGCTAAAGCTAAGCTGAAGCTAAGCTAAAGCTGAGCTGAAGCTAAGCTAGGGCTAAGCTAACACTAAGCTAAAGCTGAGCTAAAGCTAAGCTGAAGCTAAGGTGAAGCTAAGCTAAAGCGAAAGCTAAAGCTACAGCTAAAGCTAAAGCTAAGCTAAAGCTAAGCGAAAGCTAAGCTAAAGCTAAGCTAAACCTAAGCTGAAGCTAAGCTGAAGCTAAGCGGAAGCTAAGCGGAAGCTAAGCTAGGGCTAAGCTAAAGCTAAGCTAGGGCTAAGCTAAAGCTATGCTAAAGGTAAGCTAAAGCTAAGCTAAAGCTAAGCTGAAGCTGAGCTAAAGCTAAGCTAAAGCTAAGCTAAAGCTAAGCTAAAGCTAAGCTAGAGCTAAGCTGAAGCTAAGCTGAAGCTAAGCTAATGCTAAGCTAAAGCTCAGCTAAAGCTAAGCTAAGACTAAGCTAACACTAAGCTCAAGCTAAGCTAACACTAAGCTGAAGCTAAGCTAAAGCTAAGCTGAAGCTAAGCTAAAGCTAAGCTAAAGCTAAGCTAACATTAAGCTGAAGCTTCGCTAAAGCTAAGCTAAAGCTAAGCTAAGGCTAAGCTAACACTAAGCTAAAGCTCAGCTTAAGCTAAAGCTAAGCTAAAGCTAATTTAAAGCTAAAGCTAAGCTAAAGTTAAGCTAAAGCTAAAGCTGAAGCTAAGCTGAAGCTAAGCTGAAGCTAAGCTAAAGCTAAGCTAAGGCTAAGCTAAATCTAAGCTAAAACTAAGCTAAAGCTACGCTGAAGCTAAGCTGAAGCAAAGCTAAAGCTAAGCTAAAGCTAAGCTAAAGCTAAGTTACAACTAAGCTAACACTAAGCTGAAGCTGAGCTAACACTAAGCTGAAGCTAAGCTAAAGCTAAGCTAAAGCTAAGCTCGAGCTAAGCTAAAGCTAAGCTGAAGCTAAAGCTACAGCTAAAGCTAAAGCTAGAGCTAAGGCTAAAGCACTCAGGGGACTGGAGGAACCGCGGGGCGGGGACTGGGGGAACCGCCCGGGGCGCGCAGCACTGCCCGGCCCCTTTAAGCAAAGAGAGTAAGAACCCTTCTGGGCAGAGCCTAGGTAGGGAATAATCATGGAATTCAAGCGTTTTTCAGTTCCAAAAGCTCCATAGAAAGGAGCTGTTTCTGGCGAGTTCCCCGATGGAGGACTCCGGTCGCTTGTCCTCCTCGTGCAATAGCAGGCGCCGGGGGGCGGGCGATTTTTTGTTTGATTTTTCATTTTTTATAAAAAAAAAAAAAACAAAGGGAAAAATCCGGCGGCTGAATCATTTTGGGGGGTCCTGGGGGCGGGTGGGCGGGGGCGGGGAGGGGGGCGATTTGTTTCAATCGTTCCCCCCCAGTATGGGCTGAGTCCTCGCCCGGGGAATGGGCGCCGCGCGTTCGCCCCGCCGGGCGCCGGGCGCCCGAGGGCCAGCGAGACCGCTAGGTTAGTTCTGGAAGATCACCCTTGCAAATGATTTCGGCCAAAGATTCAACGGGCGAAGAACGGTATAAGATAATTTTTTTTCGCTGTCGGGGGCGTCTTTCCCTGGGCGGCTGGAAAGTGCATGCCCCTACGGCGCCGCCGTAAAGGTGTAAACTTTGCGGCCGCCCAGGGACAGGCGCCCCCGACAGCGAACAAGTTTATGTTATACCGTTCTTCGCTCGCTGAAAAGATGGCTGCATCCACAGAGACCGAGGAACATCGGCGCAGAGCCGATTTCGAGGCTGCCAAGGACCTCCTCGGGATCACCGACGACAGCGACGTCGACGGCGACCAGGGTGCCGCCCGCGGCCTGCTGGGCCTGTCGACCTGCCGATCCTCTGGCGCAGCCAGCCAGCTTGACCGCGCACGCAGCCTCTTCGGGTGCCGTGCCGATGACCTCCCTGAGCCACCAGCGCCGGGAGGACATCTGAAGTGCTCGTGCGGCTGGACCCCCGCGCCCAGCACTTGCGCCGGCCGCCGCGCAGAAGCAGCCCGCCACTGGCGCAACTGCCAGGGTTGCGCCCCGCCGCACGCTGGGGCAGCAGGGATTGCCGCCGCGGTCTACGCCTCCAACATCAACACTGGCCAGCGGAGAGGTGCTGCTGCCTTCCGCCGGTGCCGCAAGTTCGTTGCCGCTCGGAGCGCGCGGCTCCAGGCTGCCCTCTGCGACCTCTCCGGCGACGAGATCATGCGCTCCGTCTGCGGGCAGGGTTCCGTTGCCGAGTACAAGTGCCAGCGGCGCGGCTGCCCCCGCCCGCGCGCCGAACGATCCAACAAGGGCACGGCATCCACCGAGCAGTTTTTGACGCCGTCCATGGGCCCCCAGCGGGCCGAGAACCGCCGGGGGGCCAAGCTGGCGGCGAATCGTAGGGGGGGCGCTCAGCACCGGCCTCCGGCAAGCGCTCTTGGTGGAAAAGAACGGGCC